CTCTTTCCCAAGACCATATGGTTATGTGCTTGCTGACATGAAGCAAACACACTTCTGGGAAGAAAAATCTGCCACTCTTTCAGTGTGCTTTCTGTAAAAATGGATGTTAAACAATCAAAACTCCATTAAAGTTCCCGGGGGACCCATCCGTTTGAGCCTGCTGAAAGTCAGCGAAGACACCTGCTGCCGTTCCGCTGCTGTGTTTAAGTACGGCACACAGTCTCACTGGATTGGCTGGCCTGCCTTCACACACATACAGAAGCACAGCGTGAATACGAAACCAAAGTTTCAACTGTGTGTGCCACTATGCTAAAGAATCAGTACTACAAACCCTGCTGGCAAGGGAAGATGACAACACTCCCGAGGTACCTAATCCATAGGGGGAAGGTAGGAGGGAAGGGAGAGAGGCAGTTGGTTGGTTATCTAAGTGGGGTGTCTGTGTGAGTTGGGAATAGGACTTTAAAAAACCCTTCCCTCATTCTCCTTCCATCTTTCTTTGTCACTCAGTAGTGAATGGAAGGGAAGGGGGACAGAGGAAGATAAAGGGGGCTCTATTCAGGCAGCGCTAAGCCCCCCTGAACTGCTTCTCTGGGTGTGAGCGCTTAAACAGACAGGGTTGCCCCCCCCCACACACAGACACACACTGAATAAGATGCTGAAAGGAGGGCAACATACGGCGGCCAGAGATCCGCTATTGTCCCCTTGTCCCTCTCTTTTAATAGGCCTCTTCATTTCCAATCAATCCTCCTAAATGCAAGTTTAATAGCTTTTCAATAGCAGCTTTTCCCCCGAGAGGGTAACTGGGATTTTCTCTTACTCCCTGGCCCCTTTTCTCCTTCCCCGTCTCTTTCCCCTCTTTTCTCATTCCATTCTCTAGTTTTTCTCTTTTCCTGAAAGGGGGGATTCCAAGGTTGTTGGCAGTGTTTTTTCCGCACTCAATTATCCACTTCATCTCAGAGCACACCATGGACTGAACCCTGCCCCTTACCTCCCCCTCTCCCTTTGCACCCCTCTGCCTCTGTCACCCACCAGCACAATTACAGTGAGCTCATCAGGAACACGAGTTCTCCACAGCTCAGATCGCTGTGGTTCTCAACAACTACCTCAAAACCCATTTTCACATGGGTCCTTTCTGTCTTACCCTCCATCTGGGCCAAAAGAGGTGTTAATAGATGGCTGAACAGCAAAAAAAAAAAAAACAAAAAGATCAGGGAACAATGCATGTTAGCTCATCGATAATGACTCATTTTACCAAAGTGTTTGAAAAGCCCATTGAGCTGTGGGTGCAAACAGGTAGACTGTTATGTGTGTCATGCACTGTGGATCAAGAGAGGCCAATTTGAGAGCATCACAGAGAAGTGAAACATCTTCTGGCTCAGGCTATTCTGCATTTAGCAATGGCTGGCATTTTCCCATCATGCTTTCAAATATGCTGTTTTTACAGTCTGCCTGTCTGTCCTTTACATTCTGCCTTCATGAGCTATTGGGTTTTTTTCATATGCCTCCCCTTGCAGAGCGAGTTGGGGATTTTCCTTTGTACTTGCAACAGTACAAACATTGATTGCAATTATGTATCTTGCCCCGAGTATCTAAATGTTTACAGTGAGTAATAACTTGCTGCATTGGTTGCTTAGATGGATTACATGCATGGAATTGCTTCTTTTTGCTTCACCCACCTAAAATTTCTCATGCTCACATATGGCAGTTAATGCCACACGCATACACCCATGCATATGCAGCCGTGCCAGTATAGAGTAAATAGTATGTGCCATGGAATGTCTTCACACCGTGAGAGTGAATTATTGCTCTCCAGATCCCTTATTGAAAATGCTCAACAGAACATCTCAACTGGCTAATGACTCATGCCAGATTCCTTTAATTCCTCCTTGCTAAATTAGACAATTCTTTGACGGTGTATTAGCAGCTTAATTACATGAATACATTTCTAATGGGGAGAGAGGGAGGGATAGAGCCAGATAAAGAAATAGCGGAGGAGAGGCAGTCAGAAGAAGTCGGGAGCTGTGGGTGTGAACAGGCTTGTTCTTGGTGTACTACAGTGCCACATCCACACACACAAGTATACAAACATACACTATAGCCTTCAGATTTTTGCCAGACTCAAAATGAGGAGTTTGTCTATTGGCTGTAAATTAATGATATTTCAAAAGAAAAATTTTCCAACATTTTTGCAGTTGATGTGGGTTTAGTCACCATTTTGTCTTGAATATTATGTGAGTAAATATGTGCTGTGTTTATTAGCTGGACCACATGCAGTGTGCTTAATGTTACTTACTTACTTAGTGTTACTTAACACAGTTAAAATCTTGATCTACAAGTCCTTATCATAAAAATGCAACTCAGCTCCTTCCTGTGTGTGTGTGTGTGTGTGTGTGTGTGTGTGTGTGTGTGTGTGCTGTGTACTATGTACTTGCTACATAGTGAGGACATTACAAGTATGGGAGTGTGTGTGTGTATGCTTTTCCATTTCCCAGTAACATGGACAAAGCACATTTGGCCTGATACATTTTAATCCGGATTTCTTAAAATGGAATATCATTTCACACCGCTCGATGCACATAGGGCTGTATGTGTATGTGTGCATTTCTGCCTGCCTATATGAGCTCAGTGTGTGTGTGTGTGTGTTAAGTCTGTCTGAAAATGTGCTATGTACAGTATGTTTATGTCTGATTGTGTAAGTGAGCACAGGGCTGGGCGGTGTTAACAGGGAAAGCAACTTGTCAGGCACTGGAGGGCACATTTAACAGTTCCTTTGACACAGTGACTTTGATGCTTCTGTCACATGGTCGGAGTTAAGTGCAAAAAGCCTCTCCAGCTTGGATGCAGCCTGTTAAAGAGCTTTGCGTCGACCCTTAGTGCTCTCTCTTCTTCATCTTAACTGATAGGGATACATTCACGTCAGGAAGGATCAGGAAGCGACAGATGGACAGATATCAGCCATGATCCATCCACCACTGGACATATGCCTCGGTAGAATTAGACTGAACCATTCACATTGTGTGTGAATGATGCTAAACATTGAGGAAGATAATGGCACTGCAGATGAAATGTGGCTCTAATACACAATGTGTTAACTACCAATTCACCACAATCATAAACTGTTACGCCATTTTAGTAATCTGACAAAAAACACCCCTCCTTGAACCGCCACCTTATTGTGGTGGAGGGGTTTGAGTACCTGAGTGATCCTAGGAGCTATGTTGTCGGGGGCTATATGTCCCTGGTAGGGTCTCCCAAGGCAAACAGGTCCTGGGTGATGGGTCAGACTAAGAGCGATTCAAAAGCCCTTTATGAATAGATTTAGATCAAGGACTGTGACGTCGCCCGGCATGGCGCAGCCGGGGCCTCACCCTGGAGCCAGGCCCGGGGTTGGGGCTCGAATGCGAGCGCCTAGTGGACGGGGCCTCCCCCATGGTGGCC